CAACTGTATTTTCAAAACAATATTTTTCAAGAATGATGTTTCTCTTTTGCAATGTGATATATCAGCTAGAAATGAAAACACCTCTATTGTTGATGCTTTGTGAAAAACATTCAAATGGTATAGAAATGCATAAAGTGGAAGTAACATTCTTCCTATACATTCCATGCTCCAGATAACTACTAATAATAGACTGATACACATTCTTCTTGACATCTGTAAATATATAGAAGATCATGCTATATGTATGATTCTGAACCCTGGGTCTAATTACCAGGTACAAAGGTTAGTGAGGCTGCTCAGGATGTTAGAGTGGAAAGATGGAAAGAACCTGGGTCTCTGATGACATCACTGAGCCACAGAATTAACCAACCTTGGAACCTCCTTTCACAAGAATTCTTGTTATTTGAAATAATAAATGGCCCTTATTGTTTAAGTCACTTCTAATTGAATTTTGTTACTTTGGCCAAAAACATTCTAATTATCATGTTGTTCTCCTAGATAACTCAGCCTATCTATACTGAAGGCAAGTATATACCTCCATAAGTCTTATAATTATAATGAGGAGATATTTGGAACAAAATAAAAGCAGACGCATAATGCTGTTACAGCAAGCTAAACCAATAAGCCTTGAAATTCCCATCATCAAATAAGTTAAAATGACTTTGGTTCTGCCAAGCCCAATCCATTATATAAGATGGCTAATTTTAAGTATGCATGATATTAAGCTGGACCTTATGGGAATTAAAAGCCTAGAAATCTTAAGGAAAATTATGCATTAAAAAAATACCCGGTACCCAGTTGCTCTTCAATATGTACTATTACTAATAAAAACATATTTATTGAGCATTTAGTATGTACCAGTGCTGTGCTGAGTGCTTTACACTGATATAATCACAACAAACTTATGAGGCAGATTTTTTTTTAATTTTTTATTGATTTCTAATCATTTTACAATGTGTCAAATTCCAGTGTAGAGCACAATTTTTCAGTGATACATGAACATATATATATTCATTGTCACATCTTTTTCTCTGTGAGCTACCATAAGATCTTGTGTATATTTCCCTGTGCTATACAGTATCATCTTGTTTATTATTACATTTCCATTTTCCAGATGAGGAGATTAAGGCATAGAAAGGGTAATCTGCCCCCTGCCCTCAAATAACCAAACTCATATGTATGATGCCATTTCTAGGTCCTCACCTCTCAAGTCATTCTTTACCCTAATCCAATCTGACTTCTCACCCTACCCTTTTCTCCACTGAACTTCCTTTCAAACATAAAAAATTCATGAATAAGCTCCATTTTGGTAACTCAAAGGACACCTTTCAATCTTTTTCATGTTTGACCACTTGACAGCATATGACTTAATGGTTTTCCTTGGTTTTTCATGGTACTGCTCTGTTCTGAGTCTCCTCCAACTTCTCTGACCATTCTATCTTAGTCTTCTTTGGTGGAGTTTCTTCTGACTGATGCTGGTGATTTTTAAAGTTTTCTCCTTTAGCCTCTTCTCTTCTCCTTTTATGCTCTCTCCATAGGTCACAACATTCAATCCCATAGCTTTAAATAATGATCTATTGATGATTCTTAAATGTGTGTGTCTAGTACAAATTTCTACCCTGAGCTTCAACCGAGTATATCTAACATCTCCACTTAGAGATTGCAGAGACCCTCAAACTTAACATTACCAAAAACTAAACTCATCTTCCCTTCTAAATCTACTATTCTTCCAATGTTCTCTTCTGTGGTACCCCTATCCTATCAGTTGCCCAAGCCAGAGAGCTAGTAGTCATCTTTGCCCCTGCTGTTTCCCACGCTCCATCGAATCTATCACCAATTGATTCTACCTTTCAAATAGCTCATGGGTCTGCCACTTTTTTCCATGTCCACTGCTATCACATTAGTCTAAGTTACCATCAGCTGTATGCCAGGGTTACTGCAGTTGCCTATTTAATCTAGTATCTACTTTGTGTGTGTGTGTTTGTGTGTGTGTGTGTGTGTGTGTGTATATGTATAGTCTGTTTACAATGTGTCAATTTCTGGTGTACAGCATAATACTTCAGTCATACATGAACATACATATATTTGTTTTCATATTCTTTTTCACTATAAGTTATGACCAGATATTGAATATAGTTCCTTGTGCTATACAGTATGAATTTGTTCATCTTTTATATATATATATAAGTTAGATTCTGCAAATCTCAAACTCCGAATTTATCCATTCCCACCTCCTTCCCCCTCTAGTAATCATAAGTTTGTTTTCCATGTCTGTGAGTCTGTTTCTGTTTTGTAAATAAGTTTGTTTGTTTTTTTTTTAGATTCCACATATAAGTGATACTGTATGGTATTTTTTTTCTCTTTCTGGCTTACTTCACCTAGAATGGCAATCTCCAGGTCCACACATGTTGCTGCAAATGGCATTTAATTCTTTTTTATGGCTGAGTAGTATTCCATTGTATAAATATACCACAACATCTTTATCCAGTCGTCTGTAGATGGACATTTAGGTTGTTTCCATGTCTTGGCTATTGTAAATAGTGCTTCTATGAACATTGGGGTGCATGTATCTTTTTGAATTAAGGTTCCCTCTGGATAGTAGAATACTCTCTCACACTATACACAAAAATAAACTCAAAATGGCTTAAAGACTTAAATATAAGACAAGACACTTGCATCTACTTTTGCCCTCTTCCAATCTGCTTTCCACTCTGTAGCCAGGGTAATTTTTTTCAAATGCAAATTTGATCAGGTCAATCACAGACTTAGAATTCTTTAGTAGCTTTCCATTGACCTTAGCATAAAGTGCCAAACCTTTAGCATGACTTGGAAGGCCCTAGAAGATTTTGCAATTATTTACGTCTCCAATCTCACTTCTCACTACTTCATCTTTATCTCCACTCTGGCTAGAATGTACTTCTTTCACATTTTCTACACACTCTATTCTCTCCACACCACACTCCAGGCCTTCTAACATGCCACCTTTTACCTGGAATATTGTCTGTTCCTGCTACCAGTATCCCAAAGTAGCTACTCCCACACATCAGTTAGATCTCAACTAAGATGTCATTTCCTCTCTAACTCCCTCAAATTAGGTTAGATTTCCCCGGCAACTAGATAAGGGCTTAATATATAGCAGGTTCCTAAAAATATTTGTTGACTTGGCTGAGTAGAAAAGAGGACTGGGTAGGTAAGCAGGGCTTTGATAGACAAACAAGTGTTCAGTAAATATTGTTGAATATCCATTCAAGTAAATGAGTGAGTGTAAAGAAGAAAGATTTGTTTTATGAACAATTCTAATTTTCCCCCAATATACTACTAATGCATATGTGGGAATAATATTGAACATCAATCTATAAAGAGAAAAATGCCCAGTTTTAAGATTAGAAGGCAATATTTTAAAATGGGTTCCAAGTTATAACATTTCATTAAAATATGTTCTATAGTTTCCATCTTATTAAACAAATCATGTAAGAGAAATCTATGAATAATTGTATATCAACAAATCAGATCATCTAGATGAAATAGACAAATTCCTTAAAAAACATACAAATTACCAAACTCACTCAAGAGGAAATATAACATCTCAACAGACCTGTAAACAAGTAAAGAGATAGAATCTGTTTCCAAAATCTCCCAAAAAAGAAAAGTCCAGGCCCAGATGGCTTCACTGGTGAATTTTACCAAACATTTAAAGAATCAACACCAGTCCTAATCAAACTCTGCCAACAACAGAAGAGGAGGAACATTTTCTAACATGTTCTATGAGATCAGCATTACCCTGGTACCAAAGCCAGCAAAGATACTACAAGAAAGAAAAAAACTATAGACCGATATCCTTTATGAATAAGAGTGGAAAAATCCTCAACAAAATAACAGCAAACCAAATCCAATAGTATATTAAAGGATTATACACTAGCACCAAGTGGGATCTATCCGAGGAATGCAAAGGTGGTTCAACATAAGAAAATCAAAGCAATAAATCATATTAAATGAATGGAGGAGAAAAAAAATAGGATCATCTCAATAGATGCAGAAAAAGCACTTGAAACAATTCAACACCCTTTTATGATAAAAAATACTCAGCAAGTAGGAGTAGAAAGGAAATTCCCTAACATGATAAAGGGTATCATCTCAATAGATGCAGAAAAAGCACTTGAAACAATTCAACACCCTTTTATGATAAAAAATACTCAGCAAGTAGGAGTAGAAAGGAAATTCCCTAACATGATAAAGGGTATTTACCAAAACCTACAGCTAATATCATACTCGATGATGAAAGACAAAGCTTTCCACCTGTGATCAGGAACAAGACAAAGATGTGTGCTTTTTGAAATGAGAGAGGTGGTGGTTGAACACTGTGAATGCACTAAATGTCCCTGAAGTGTATACGTTAAAATAGTTAACTGTATGTTATGTGGATTTCACTTCAGTAAAATGATTCATAGAGTGAATCATTTATTAACTTTGGCTTACTGATCTACAAGCATATTTCCTATGTTCACAGGATAATCAGTAGATAAAAGTTGTAATTTAGAGATTGCATTATAACACCACGAAAAACAAACTGCATTTTCAATTCAAGAGAAATGTGAGATAAAAGTCGAACTAAAAGCCTGAAAACTACCCTTAGAAGAGCCTGCAAATTTTCCTCTCAAAATTAGAATATTCTTTTAAAAATTGGAAGCCAGATGGTTTGATGTAAAAATGCATCTCGATATTAAATCCATATGGGATTTAAAAGTTAATTCTGCTGCAGCTGCAGCAATCATAAGTGTACTCAAAGTGTTTATTTCTCCTTCAGTAATGTTCAGAGCAATGCTTCTCAAAGTGGGAACTTGTTTGAAATGCTAATTCTCAGGCCCTGCTTCAGCCCTCCTGAATCAGAAACTCTGGGGTTGAGGGCCAGCAGTCTGTTCTAACAAGCCTTCCAGGTGTACATCCGAGTTGGGGAACCACTGGTTAAGACCAACAGCACAAGTCTATAAGCCTTTCCTTACCAGACAGGGTTGTCCCACAAATGTTGTACTGTTTCTTCTAGCTCTTAATGTGTCAGGTTGGAACACCTGTGAATCATTCCTAAGAAGAAAAAGAAAACATTTGTCATTTAAAATCCATTACCAAAATTTTTAAAAGAAATAAGATTTCACATCCTTAAATGTCATTAATGTAAATGGCTTCTTCATGGAGATGGCTGTGCAGATGTAGAAAATAAAACATGCATACACCCAGACACACACCCAGACACACACACACACACAGAGCCTAAACAAGTGTCCATGCAAAGGAAGGAATTCTCAAGCATGCCACTTTACCTCTATAATCATGAAACCAAGAAATATAATTTTTGTGGCCTTGGAGAGACATCATTTTCTGTGTAAATCTGCAACTGACTTAAATTTATGATTAAAGCTAGGACAGAGCCTAAACAAGTGTCCATGCAAAGGAAGGAATTCTCAAGCATGCCACTTTACCTCTATAATCATGAAACCAAGAAATATAATTTATTGTGGCCTTGGAGAGACATCATTTTCTGTGTAAATCTGCAACTGACTTAAATTTTGATTAAAGCTATTATGTGCTAGAACCAATTTCCTCTCAACTCTCTAACTTTCACATGAACAGGAGGGGTAGCGGTAGCAGGGGTCAATGGAGCTGAGATTTTCAAATGATATGTTTCATTTGGTCTACTCGGTGATAAAAATGTTTTTGAATTGGTTGCACACACTTGGAACAATTATGGAGATTTCACATTAAAGAACCCAGATTTCTGGCTTCTATTGCAGGATGTTGCCACACTGGGCCACATTTCTACCTGGCGACAACGTACCGAGCTGAGATTCAGTCTCAGTCGCTGCCCGCTGGAGGTGGTCATTTCGTTAGCTCTGATGGTGCCCACCTAGCCAGCCTCAGCCTTTTAGAGCTTGGGACCCTGAAGGAGTCATCTTTTCCTTTTTGTTTTCTTTTTGTTATAACTTTTTATTCTGAAATTGTTTAAGACTCACAAGAAACTTCAAAAAGAAAATGGAGGGTTCTTGTGTACCTTTCATCCCAGGTTCCCCAACGATAATAAGAAATAATCTTTAACATTTTCTTTTTTGCTATGTATAGCCAATCAGGTGTCAAGTCTTTCAGGTTTTACCTCTATGACCTCTTATATTCATCTTATTCTTCCCAGGCTCCTTGCCAAAAACCTATTCAAAGCTTTTTTTTTTAACTTTTCCTTAGACTCTGCAATAGTCTAATTGGTCGCCTCACCTCTGTTCTTTCCCTACTACAATCTGTCTACCAACTACCAGATCACCCTCCTAAAGAATAGCTTGCTCTCCTGCTCACAACTTTCAGTGATGCTCTTCATCACCTGCTGAATTCAATTACATTCTTTACTATGACATTCAAAGCCCTCCACAATTTAGTTCCACCAACATTTGGATTTTATAGACTAGGAAAATTTCAAAACAAAATCTTGGCACAAACGTACAGTTGCTACCATTTTCTCTTGCCAAATAAGGTCATTTGAAAAAAAAAACCACACCAACTACCAACCCATCATTTCATTTATGAACGTATATTTTGGTATTTAAAAAAAAGCAGGACTAAAAATCTGAGTAAAATACAGTCCTGCCCAGAAAAGAATGATATACTTAACTTTTTAAAAACCGTGCATTGGGTAAAATGTCACCTGGGATCAGCACTGGTCAGCAGATGAAACTTTGGGAGCCAGTGATCCAGGCAGAGTTGACCAGCATTCTGGAATATACCTATACTTTCCTACTTTCAAGCCTGTTCCATATTGTTGCATGCTGTCCCAGGCATCTGGCCCCCTTTCTTCCAGTCTGCATCCTATCAATCTATCTGTTAGGACCCATCTCAAATGCCACCTGTCCAAAAACCTTTCCTGTATCCCTCATCAATCTTGCTGTCATTTCTCACACCCTTCTTCTAATTACCTAGCACTTTCCTTCCCTCCTAAGCACAGATCTCACTCTACCAAACAGTTAAGTTCTTCGAGTATTTATTTTCCCTATTAAAACCTTATTGAACCTTGAGATACATCTTTGGAACATAGTAATTTGCATATAACAAGCAGTAACTCAATATTTTATAAGAGGATATATGTACGGGTCTAACTTTCACTTCCTTTCCCAGTCATTTTCCCTTATGAGAATGGGGATCTATTTTAGTGGTCACTACTAGAACTTGGAGGGACACTAATGGGTTACATATTTCCACCATCTTTTGTGTGTTGGGTAATTCTTAAGGCTGGCTACTATATTCTCCCCTAAATTTTTGTCTGTCAATTTTATGTAATAAGACAAAAATTGAAAAAAATCATTGAGGCAGCATATATTTCAATTGATATGAGTCACTCAACATGAATTTATCAACTCCTAGGTGATACCTAGAACTAAGTGCTACTTACAACTTGGAAAAAGTGAAGGTAATGTAACAGATAATGATCAATGCTCCACATCAAATGATCAGTAAGCAGCAGTTCCATCTAAACCACAATTTATTTATGTCAGCTATAGTACCAGAACAACCATTCTTCATGGACACAATTTTTCTTCCTGGTTTGTAAGCATTTAATAAATCAGATGGTTGGCAAACTTTTTCTGCAAAGGGCCAGATAGTAAATATTTTGGGCTTTGTGGACCATGTAACCTCTGTTGTAACTACTGAACCCTGCCATTGTAGTGGGAAAGTGGCCCAAGGACAACAAGTCAACAAATGGGTGTGGCTATGTTCCAATAAAATTTTATTTACAAAATCTATCAGCAGACTCAATTTGGCCACTCAGCAGTAGTTTGCCTTTCAAACAGAATTCAGGCAGTAACAGTTTAAACGCAGAGTATTTAAAGGGCAAAGGCACTGGCAGAACTCCAAGAACTTAATCTCTAATTCTTATAAGGGCCAGAGAAGTAGAAGAAAAAAAAATACCTTTAAATAAAGTCACTGACACCAGTAGTGAAGTCACCAATTAAAGGGGCTAAAGAGCAGAGCACAAAGAACCAAGAGGTTTAAAACGTTTGATGTGTATACAAAACCATGCAGGAACTTTTTAAAAACTAGTAATACGTACTAAAGAGTTAAGACATTTAAAGAACAAATTCTGCAAATGCTGGTGCAAGAGACTGAGGATCTATATACAGGATCTATATTCCAAGCAAAATTGGAAATTGCTTGCAAGAAATGCAACAATATTTAGTGGGCTATGAAAGAGGCAAGGCAACATCTAAGGGAAAGTGGGAAAAGTGAATGGTATACATATGCAACTGAAAAGAACTGGGGTGAAAATGAATTCGACTAAGGCTCAGTTTAACTCTACTCTAAATTTTTCTTGCTTCAGTGTAACTTCTCTGACTACACCCTAAACTTGCCACAACAGCACAAAATATGCCCTCAGGAGATCACTTGGACAAGTTCTCTGACCTCAGGAATGTTATATATCATGCCTATGTTACTTGTTTTTGATAGATGAGAATCCCTGGACTTGGTCCACTTTTCGGGTTAACTCCTGCTAGATAAATACGCAATTGCCCCTCACCTTGCTGTTCAAAATTCACTTCCTGCATCAGGATCTTAAGCTACGGAATTCAACACTGTAACTATGCTCCAATATGATAAAAATAAAAATTTCGAATCCTTTGCAGAACAAAGTGTGAAGGGATAACTGTGATCACTATCTTTGTTTCCAGGACTTTTGAGGATTGGGAAAAGAGGCCTGGTCTCCCCTGCCTCAGCACTTAATACATTAAACAGGCTCCACATGTTTCTTCAAATATATATCCTCCATCATCGACATATTTTCAACTTGTTTGTTTCACAAAGCCTTTCAAGAAAATCAAGATTCTCCCCAAGTGTTTTCTTCTACTAGCAGAGTGGGTCCATCACAATTCATTTATTCACACAATGGGATGAGAGTAGAATCATGAATTTATAGAATGTTCTTGTTCTCAGTACCACAGGCAGAGCCGCCCCCCACCCCTTATTTTTCTACCTGCCTGTTTAAAAAAGTAATGTGGCCTTTCTTGGGCAATCTTAGTTTGCTTTTCATTTTGTTACAACATATTTTCCTTTAACTCAAATGACCAGAAAGTTGCATTTGTTTAGAGTTAATCAGCTTAGATGTTTATCAGTAGTGGACAAAGCACTAGCTTAGGAGTCTGGAGACACAGGTTCCTAGTACTGGCTCTACTACTAACTATGTCACTTTGGAGATTCATGGGTATGTTTCCTCACACATTAAACAAGGAGTGTAGATCTGGTGTCTTGAGTTCTCCTCTAACAGTTGTCAATTACAACTCTCAATGAGTATGATACCAACAAAAGGTGAGAAGCAAAGTTAATAACATATGTAGTGAATGCATTTTTCAGACATTTTCTACAATATTGAGAAGATCTTATGATACTGGGATGTGAGATCCAAGATCTCACTTTAAAATTCTATTTTAAGAAATAACAAGCTTGAGTCATGCCAGACCTTTGGATATGCGCAGGAAATACAGTCAACTATCAGTTAAATCTTTTAAATCTTTTTTCATCATCAGCCCTTTAAAGAGCCTTTTTAGACATTTCCTCCCCCTTAATTAGGTCCACCTCAAAAATCTCAATGAAATTTTAATAGAACAAATAAACTGCATATCTGTCATTGTGCTGTATGTGTATCTGTGCTTTTACATGAGAAAATTTTTTTCATCCACCCCAAAGAACTAAGTAGGGGCAATACTGGCCACTGAGAATGCAAAATTTAGGATATCAATTTTCAGTGATACCTAAACTCTTTGTTCAAATAAAAACTAGTGTGGAAAAGGCCCAAGCTTATTTGCTTGACAACCATTTTCATTCTGAGTGTGTTGAGGGTGAAGATCAGAGGTGACAAAGCAACTGAGAGAATGACAAAAATTACAGTCATCACAGAAGATCTGGAGGCGAGGGTGTGGGGTGGTGTGCAGTTTCTTCAAAGGAGCAGGTAAGAGATGGGGTGAAGTTAGAAAATGTCGTGCTCCACACCAACTGGTTGCTGCTTTCAGGTCCCGGTGAACTGTCACAAGAGGACGTTCAGGTTCACGTGTGTTAACCTCAGGGTGGGTGTGCACTTGATCTCCGGCCAGCCTGTACCCCCGCCCCCCCAAGCTGAGGGTGGCATCTCTGGACACCAGGGACAAGGGAGATACCTGCATAGAATCTCGATGAATAAAGGGATGGGAATGCTACTGGATGTCACTTTCTGCACCTCTTGACACCACCCCGCCCCCCCCCCACACTTGCCTCCTCAGTATCTCAGTCCTGCTCACCTAAGCTCATTGATCAAAGGGGCGCTGCTGGATCGCCTTAGGGTGTTGTCCTCTATGGTGGTTGAACTCGGCAGCGGATCCAAGTCTAGGTCCATTTTCTCCTGTGCCATGTCCTCGCTGAAGCTTAGTTCGGGACTCTCAAGGTTTTCTGGCTCCCGCTCACGTGAGAACAAGTCGACTAAATGAGGAGATGATGTAGCGAGAGAGGGAAGGGGGAAAAGAGGAGTGAGGAGGAAGCTTTTAAACGAGTGGGTGCTCACTTTTGCAGCCCTACCATCTCTAACTCCAGTGGGCACAAAGCGGGCAGGACTGGCTCCAAATCTCCTAACTTCCAAGCTCGGGGCCCCTAACGCTGGGATCCTTCACTGCCAAGCCTGTAACAAAAATGAGGAATGTATCTTAATCCGTGAACCTTTCTCCCTTTCTCCTTTCTCTCTCCCAGACAATGCAAGCCTGGGTAAGGCTTTCCGACCAAAATAAAAACTACAAGCTGCCGCTTTCGCGAATCACTCTGGCATCGCCGCCCTGCGCGTACTCCGGGTGTCCCGCCCGCTGACTCGTGTTTACTACGTAAGCAATAAGCGTAATCGCAGGCGCCAGTGGCAGCCTGGCTGGGGGCGCATGCGCAGTGAAGGAGCCGCTCCCCCACCCCCCAAGCCTGGTCCTCCTTTCTTTCTGATGAGGATTCACCGTGGTTGTTCTCTCCTCCTGTGTTAACCCTCGAATGGTTTCGCTAACCATTATTTAGGAATAAAAAGGATGGAATAAGGTGTATGGGAGCGCCATCCTTTCTGTTCTAATACTCTGTTTTCTCAGTTTTGTTTAAGCCCATTATCCCCTTGTGACTGAGGCCAACAAGCTTGTTACCTCCCATGACGAATTTTTCCGTCCTATTACAGCAGACACCCTACACCTTTGTGATTTTAAAAACGCTAAAGCGGGGGGAGGGGGGATAATACACTTTTAAGTGCTTAGAGGCCACCTGCTCCCAAAGGGTGCCAGTAAGGCGTTAACACAATTGAACCAATTGTGCAAACAAATCGTTGTTTTCCATATATTTTTTAACCATAATCATACAGTGTATATTTTTTACACTGAATAAAATCTAGCTCCTCAAAGCTATTCATCTAAGAAAAAAGATTTGGGTTAAAGCAGGGAAGCTTATTTTCTTAAAATAAATATCTCATAATTTAGTATCCGTCCAAATCAGTGTTTCCATTTAACGGTGCTGTCACGGCTCAAAACATTTTAAGAACTGCTCTTTTAGAATTTTTCACCACCAGTTAATGAGCCACATTGAGTACTAGAATCTTAACTTCCACACTAATAATTTTGTAAAACCACACATTTTAGGAACCATGTAGAGAACTGTCAGAGAAGGCAAGTGAAACAGCTGAAATGGAAACTATTAATTAAAACAGTCAATATGGTACAACACTTTACAGTTTAAAAATATTTTCACATACTTATCTCAGTTGGTTCAATTGTTAACACTACTCAGCTAATCAGTGATGAACTTAAAACAATGGGATTATCTTGAAACAGTTCATGACAAGTTATGACATGAAAGAAAATCATTCTTCATTCATTCTGAGAATAGAGTAAGAAAAGCTTAATTATATTAAGCAGAATTAGGTTACCTAAATCCCAGACATGAGGATAATTTGGAGTCTCCATTCCTGACCTAAGACAGGTTAACAATAGCTACCATTTGGGAGGCACTTCCTATGTGCAAGTATTGTCCTGAGCACTTTAAATATATGATCACATTGAATGCTTACAATAACTCTGTGAGGTAGGCACCATCACAATGCCCGTTATTCAAAGGAGGAAACCGAAGCCCAGAGGGGTTACTCAAATTACAACTACTAAATGGCAAAGCCAAGATTCCTCTGCTCTTCTATTTAAGTGAAAAGACAGATGAGGAGCCTCTGGATATATCTCTGGGCATAATTTTTGTGCTTATAAGCACTTGATAAATAATTATTAAATTATTTTATGAATAAATGCAGGTTTAAATCGCCTTTCCTTCACAACTGTCTTGTAAAGTAGGCAAATCATTTCTATTTTACAGTTGATAAAATTCCAGAGAGATTAATGGCACATAATTAGGTAGCAGTAGAATCTGGGCTAGTACCAAGATTCCTGAAAGCCACTGTTAAGGTTCTCAAGGTAACCTGGAAAGTTTATGAAAGATGGCAGCTGAAACTGAGTAAATTCAGAGTGAATGTAGAAGGAGTGGTAAAATACTAAACAGAGGGTCAAAACCAAACTGTTTGAATAGCAGAAAAATATGGAGTGCATCAGAGAACAAGTAGCTCTTACTTCCACTCTACTGCTCATTTTACTTTTCAAAGAGTTTGTTGATATTCTTGGCAGATAATAAGGTTTAATGTATATCTTCTGAATGGCTAGACAAATCAAATCTCATCATGCCTAAACATTACAGATATCTAATTTTAAAAAATCTAATTACATAACACTAAAAATAGGCATAATAAAATGACAAGGAAAGAGCAACTTAGACATTGTTTCTAGAAAAGTGGTAATAATATGAAATGACTAAATACATGAGATGGCACTAAGTTTCCAGCTATTACCAAAGAGGAGAAATTCTCTTTAAGTGTAGGTACATGTCAGGAACCTAAAACCTGTAAAAGTAGAGACAAGACTCATAATACACACACAAGTTGAAATATCAAAAGGAACAAGTACTCCCAAAACAAAAATTCTGTATACTCTAGTGGCAAACACAACATGTAAGAAATTATTTTTACTTCCCAGTTCTACCCACTTATTATTATACGAACCTGGCTGTGTTTCATGAATAGGTCTTGGTGTTCCGCGGGTATATGCCATTATCTTGGATCGCTGGTTTGCTTCTATCTACACTTTGACCCTTATGCTGCTCTTCACTTTGAACATCCCAGTGTGCTGCCATCTGCCCCAGACCTCTTACCTATAAAAGGCATCCCAGAAACATATCATAATCAGCTCTTTATTTTACCGGTTGTCATGGCAACTTCAAAGCAGCATGTTAGCTCTTAGTTATCAGAAGAACAAGATAAATCAAGTTGATCCTAAGCCCACAAAGCACAAAAACCCCAAACCTCCCAAAAGATCTACATGAAGGGTAAAAGAAACTAGGTAGGCAAGAATGATATTAATAAAACCTGGAAATGATGGCAAAGTAGCATCTGTCTTTTCATATGTCCTTAAGTTTCTCCTAGTTGTTAAGCCCTTGAAAGTTAGGGATTCTACTAAATTGTTTGATTTTTCAGAGTTAGGGATGGTGCAGGTGGTAAAAACTGATTGTTCGGTAGCTGTTGTGAACAACAGAATGTGCTATATTTTTTGAAAAGATTGGGGGTGAGTGGGGTGTTGCTGAGAACTTGGGATAAAAAGAGATACATAAATTAATCAAAAACGGAACTTGGGTTTCTAATCCAGATGGTGGGAAAATATAGGCAATTTAAAAGAAACGAAAAGTGGTTTAAAAACTCTCATGTTACAAGTAGAACACATAAACATTGAGGAATAAAATGAAGATTGGACTTGGCAAGTTTAATACGCTACAACTAATTGAAGAGGCAGGTAAAACTATTTTTGCAAAAGTTTGAAACCAATTTTCTAATTATTCAGAAGTTTCCTGTGCTTTCTATGTATGTATGATTAACCCAGTACAGTGGCCATCTCTCTCCCAGGGTCATTCAAGTGGTGAGGATTAAATGAATTAATATTTTTAAAGCTCTTAAGAATACTGCCTAGCACACAGTAACTGCTATGTAGGTGTTTGTTTAATAAAGTAAGTAATTCCAGGTCTCACATGCACTGAATCGTAATTGTTAGTGTCTCTGCAAATCCTAGGAAGAAAAAAAATCTGGTTCTACTACTTGTTCTTCAGGACTTCTCGTAATATCACTGAAGCTAACAGTGCTGGTTTAATGGAGATGAATGCTTCTCACTATCTATATGAACTCTCATTAGATTCTCTTTATTTTTACACCATTGCTTTTTTCATTTCCCTTTGGTCTAGTGCATCCAAATGGATCATCTGAAAAAGAAATCTGCCCCTCCCAGAGACCAACAAAGTCGAGGGATTTAAGAAATGAGCAGGAATCACAGAAGTCAGAGCATACAAATTGGGAACGAATAAACGTGGAAAACACGTGTTTCTTAGTCCCTTGAATACTGGCCCAAACTCCTCCTGGAAGATGATGCTCCACTGTCTCCAAACGATTGGTTCTTTTCAAAATCGGGCGCCAGGACCCCCGAGCCAATGCCGTGGAGCAAGGCGCCGGGCTCCCTGGAAACGCTCCTCCCCTTTGGAGGAGGTTTGCGGGGCGGGGCTCCCACGCATGCTCCGTGTCCGCCGGCCCATTGGCGCGGCCGCCGGGCGCGTGCGCAAGACCCGATGGGTGCCCGGACGCGGAAGACTTGGCCGCGCGGAGGTTCTCGCTTCTGAAGCGTGGGAGGCGTAAGAGGCGGCAGGTTGTAGATTTTGGTCTTGGCCCCAAGGGGTTCCCCCGGGCCACTGGAATCCAAGAGAGAAAGAGGAGGCACCGAGTCGGCGGCTGGCCGAACCCCCCACCTGTCCTCTAGGCAGGGAGGGGGGGCAAGGAGGGGAGAAGCACCGATTACCGGGCTGAGGAGCCTCCGGGACCGGGTCCCTGAGCATGGGGGGCTGGACCAGTTCCCCGAGCATGGGGAGCTGGAGCCACCGAGGCCGCCCGGCCGGGCCCTGCCCGACTGTCAGCTCCTCGGTGCTAGTGCTGCCCCGGCAGCCGGGGTGTCTGTAGCCGGCCCCGCTTGAGGTCGTCGGCCGAAAGATAGCAGCATGAGTTCCGCCGCTGCCTAGTTTCCTCCCCGTTCTTCTCTTCCCCCTCTGTCCTCCTCCTTCCTCTCCTTCCTTTCTCCTCTTCCCCGTACCTCGTCCTTCTTCTTTCCCTCCACCCTGCCCTCCTGCTTTCATCCTGTCTTTTTCTTCCTTTCCCCCTCTTCATTTCCCCCTTTGTCGTCCTGCTTTTCCATCTATCCCTTTTCCCTGCCTCTTGCTCTGTTACCTCCTTCCATCCATCTCTCTCCTCCTTCCTCTTCCTTCTGTCACCCTCCACAACCTCTCCATCCCCTTCCCCTCCCTCACTGTCATCCTCCCTTCCTCATCCTCACCCTCCTTTCCTCCTCCTCCTCTCCTGCTTTTCTCCGCCCTAGCCCCCGCCCCCAAGCCTCCGCCCCTTAAGCCCCCGCCTCCAGCTCCCAGTCCCCAGAAGCTCAGTCCTGCAGCGAGAGAGAGTCTTGGGAGTCCATAGCTAAGCACAACGAGCTGAGCACTGTCCGTTGTGCCTGCCTGCAAGTCGCCGACATGGCTCAGGAGAAAATGGAGCTGGACTTTGAGCCTGACACATCTGATGGGGGCACCCTGAGGAGATCCAACAGCGCTCCCCTGATCCATGGGCTCAGGTGAGCAGGGTTGGGGATGATGGAGTGCTGGGTTCAGGGGCTCCTTGACCCCCTGCCATTAGTCTCCTTCCCTCAGGTGAGAG